AGAACAACTGGTCTGACTATTAAAGACTGAGGCAAAGAAGGCATTAAGTACCTCAGCCTTTTCTTCATCCTTTGTCACTATGTTTCCCCCGCATCCAATAAAGGATGGAGATTCTCCTTAGCCCTCCTTTTGTTCCTAATGTATTTATAGAAACATTTTTTATTGTCTTTTATGGCAGCAGCCAGATTAAGTTCTAGTTGGGCTTTGGCCCTTCTAATATTCTCCCTGCATAACCTCACGATATCTTACTTGTTACTAAAGGAAATGGTAATATTTGCACTGGGACTATCTAATATCTAGGGCACTGAATAATTAAACTCAACACAGACTTTAAGCTGTCAGCATCTCTGGAAATGTGATTTATTTACACTAGTACTGAGTCAGGTAAAATGTTTCTGTTCACGCCATCCTGAACATAACAGAGAAATTCCCATCTTTTAGCGCTGTTTTCAGCAAGGGAGCTGTATTTTTAAGAAGCAAACACTGGATCGCATCTATTTGTTCAGACAAATTCTACATTTTTGTCCCAAAAGTCAGCTTACACATTCTGCAGAAACTCCTATGGCCATCAGAAGAGCACAGGGACAGCACATGTGCATCTATCAGCCAAAGTTAGCCTTTGTTCCCAGCTGAAACCTGGCAATAGCGTGATTTTTTCCAGCACTGTTTATTTTTCCTCAGTGTTCACAAGCGTCTTGACTCTGCAATGACAACCCTTCAGTGACCAAGGCTGTCCTGCAATATTTTTCTCCTTTTCATCTTGTTGAAGCTGTTGTTCTGCTGGGCAGCCATCAGATTTATTGCAAAATTGGTAACTAAGAAAATGAGAATGGATGAGGAAGTCTTCACCTGACAAAAATCTCCCCCTTCTCTCCCTCCACAAACTGTCCTAACTAAAACTATGTCGCCCTTACGTTGTGCTTTTGGCCTCACAATGCTTACAGTGCCCAAATTTGCTCTCAGGTCTGACTGTCAGGTGAATGGCGCACTCGAAACCGGACAACGCTCTTGAAAAAGTGAGCGAGATTTGTAACAGCTTTTGCAATCAGGTGGCTTCTACCTGCTGTGTGTTTGGTCAGGCTGGCAAGAGCTGAGCGAGTAGGGTGTAGCTGAGTAGTACATATTTGTGAAGTGTAACCCTAGTTCTGGGACGAGTTGTGCTTTACAGAAGCCTTAAAGGTGGCATGGAGCAAAAAGAAGGGCTGATGTGTTCACACCATGGACTGTGTGGAGTCTTACCAAAATAATGTCTTCGTGCTGCATGAGATGTAGAAGTGGATGTGGCCTACACAGTAAAGTTACCCCGATCAGCCTGTACTCAACAAAGAAACAAACATTTCACTTTTATTTATTCTGTGTTGGGGCGGGGAGGGCGGGGGGGAACGAGGGGGCTGTTACACAAAATCTTCATTTAAATGCTTTGTAGTTTGCTCCTGCTGCTGTTCACCCAACTCTCCTCTGGCCCAAGGCCCTACTCGTTTAGCCAGGTCTCCGCTCCTCTTAAGACTTAGGCAGCCTTGCTTTTCAAGTACTCCCTTCTCTGTGGGACCATGGAGGCAATCCACTGAGCAGTGCGCTGCTTGGCCTCTTCCCATGTGTAGCGGGGCATGTAGCCAAAATCCTTCTGTGCTTTTCTATAAGAGAAGGTGAATGGGGTGTTCAGTAGCGTGACCAGGTGACGGTTGGTGGAGGGGATGTATCTGACGAAGGGCCTGAGCAAGAAGCTCACGATCTCCAGCAGCAGCGAGAAGTAATACAACATTTTCAGAGGCATGGGGAGCCGGGGCTCGATTCCAAACCCCAGCTCCCTGGTCAGCTCGTAGTTTAGATCTGCATAGCTCATATGAGGAGTGTCATCTGAGATGTAGTAGAACTGCCCCCTGATGTGCTTGGCTTTCTGTGGGACCTGCAGGGCTTTGGCTGCCTGTACATGTGCCCAGGCGATATTCCCCACATAGACGGGGTTCACCAAAGCCTCCTTCCTGGAGAAGCGCAGGTAGACATTTTTGTTCAACAGACACTTGTCCAGATGACCTTGAAGAAATGGGCATCCTTCTCCAAAAATGTACATGGATCTTAGGGCACAAGTCATCAGCATGCCACCATCCTTTAACACCTGGCCATCTGCTTTCAGCACAGAATCCTCTGCCAGTCTCTTACTCTGGGCGTAAGGAGATTTTGATACACTCTCATAAGCTGTATCTTCATCACCGTTGAAAACTGGGTCGCCTTTGCAGTTTGGGCCTGTCACTTCTATGGTACTGGTATATATGAAGTGCTGGACGTTACAGCGGACGCATGCCTCCAGCAGCAGTTGAGTGCCTTCAAAAAAGAAACATGCAAGTCAGTCTGGAGCTCTCCAAGCAGGGAAAAGTGGGCTTTTTAGGTCAGAAACAGCATCTCTGGCCTGAGCCTGGCCAGATCTCACCTCTCTGCAGCTGGAAGAATCCTGTCCTGAACTGGGCAGAATGTGCAATGAAACAACCTGCTCTGAATCTGTATTTAAGTAGTATCAGTGCACCTGCCCGAGTTAAACAAGGATGAACACTTGGTCTTAATTGCATGTTGTGGGGTTTCTTTTATGCCAAGTGTCAAATTTTGCTCTTGCTTAGGCTAGCGTGGACTCTGACCACAGATTCAGGGGCTTGTGCCTGTCGGTCCGGTTGACTTAGCCTAAGGCAGAGAACCTTCAGAAGCTGTCCCTCTCATTAGGTACCATCCATCCTGTGTGCTGAAGCCCCTGTTTTCCAGCTTTGAGGATGCTCTTGGGTGGTTTGCTAAGTAGGGACAGAATTAATGTGGGACCTGAAGGTTTGCTCCAAAGTCAGCTTCACCCAGTGGGAGTCTGTCCACCATTCAATTGGCTTTGGAGGAGGGCTTGAAGAGAAAGGTCTTATGTCAGAACAATGCGTGATACTATGTAGTCAAAGATCATAGAGTAAAGTGGAGCGAG